TGGGCACGGTGCAGGGCGCGGGGCGGGGGGGGGGGGGTGGGTGGGCGGGGGGCGTCCCGGGCAGCCCCACCGGGGGACAAACCACCAGAAACAACAGACAGAAGGCGGGAGGGGGGGGGGGGGGGGGGGGGGGGGGGGGGGTGGGGGGGGGGGGGGGGGGGTGGGGGGGGGGGGGTTGGGCGCAGCTGGAATTGACTGATGCATAACCCTAATCAGAATTGTTGCTTAACTCTAATCACTATAGTCAGTTGTACAATAGTCAGTGCTAGAAACCGAAGCGAAAACGAATACTAGGTTGTGTAATCTTCATAAGGTGTCCAAGGGGGCTTAAGCCGACGGGATCTCCAATCCCTTCCCCAAGCAGCTACCTTAAAAAAGTCCGAAAGCAGAAAGTAAGCAAGGTTTTGGCCATCCAAACTTAAACACATTTCGTCACATTTGTAAGACATGTGACTGACACAGTCTACAAAATTCGTCTGCAAAGTGAGACGAAATACGAATGGACCTTTGCCCAGCTTCTTTTTTTTTTCCTCAACTTTTGACATGGACAAGCTAAGGGAAATTCGTTGACACTACTGGAAAAAGGGCCTTAAAATTAATGATATAGCAAAGTTTGAAAGCGATTTGTTGAAAACTAACGAAGTTATAAGAGTGGGGGGGGGGGCACAAACTTGGAAGTTTGTGGAACTATGTCTTCGCTCGCTCACGCCGTATAACTTCCAAATTTGGCTATTCTACTACTTTCAATTTTTACTACTGAAAAGATTATCATGTCTGATAAAATCCCGACGTTTCCACGGCTATTTTAAGTTAGGTCTCTTGAATATTATGTCCCATCAGGAGCTCCTGGTTCCCATAGACTATCGAGCATTTGTTTGTGCATTTGTTTTTTTACATGCAAAATGCGTATCACCCCAGAATAGAATTTTATGAACCCGATACCTCTTCGGGGATCGACTGTATTGCTTATACAACAGCTCACACTTCAAGAGCTCTGCCTCATAAAATTTGCGAGCAAAGGAAGGCGGTTAGAAGAAAACTGGCGCTTCCCTTCTTTCTCCTTCTCATGGTCTCTTGCGCTTCGTCACCAGTCACTCGAGTGTTACTCGCGTTTGGCGCTCGCCTCTACGTGAAAAACGAAGCGCCTGAGGGGAGGCAATCTAGAATAAAATCGATCTCCTTTGGACCCATTCTTCGCATAGCCTTCCAGGCGTTCAGATAGTGGGGCGCGAGGGAAAAATTTAACTCGCTCCCCATCATCTGAACGCCTCGAACGGGCTATTCTTCGCATTGTTCGCGCGGTACTAGCCGGCAAGAACCGCCAAATTTTGGAACTTTACAAATTATTAAAAAAAAGAATTGAAAAAGGATACGACGTTTTTTTTTTGGCACAAGTAATCACAACAACAAGAGGAAAAATACCTTTTTGAGGGTTAGTTGCACTATAATAATATTTTGAAGCTTATGGTCCAAACAGCTTCCATTTTTTCTGTAAGATACATTGCCGTCGAAATTCATCGCCAAAAGCAAATGGCCGCAAAAACAACCGACCAAGTTTTATATCGGTTCTGCGAAGAATAAATCCAAGACAAAATATCCACGACTCCCGTGACTCTCTTTTCTCACGGCCAAATCGACCACGATAAGGCACGAACTCATGCAGTTCGGGGTTGGTGTCAATTAGTCCTGACAGGTCAGAAACACATATACATTTAAGTTCTGATTGATTCCAATTGTTGGTTTTCACATGACGTCACTAAAATTCAAACTACAAAACTGTCGATCCTACTGGCATTTTTCTTTCATGATTTCAAGAGCAGCTGAAAACTAATATTCATACAAATTTTCGCCACGAAAGGGTTCTTGGTTTTGTGATAGAATACGCTTGAATTTCTAAGCTTTTGTGTAACGCGGCATTTACATGACGACCGAGAGTGCTGTCATGTAGATTAAAAAGCTACTTATTTCGGGGAATTTCTTTATCTAAACAGTTCATGTATTAGGAAAAGTATTACTTTAATGTTTATGAGTTCCTCGAGAGAAAAATTCACGCTTTAGTTGCAAAAACTCAGTAACATATGTTTTTATTGGTTTTCGGCCGCCATGTTGTTGCCCATCCGGATGGGCACCAGCATGGCGTCTCCACACGTCTATGAATTTGGGTATAACATTTCTCCGGACAGTCTCATATATGAAAAATTGCACTGGCCTGAATATTGGCGAGGGTCTTTGCATATCCCATTTCCCCGATTCTAGACTTTATCTATTGAACGGTTTTGATTTTGATTTATTTTCAACGGCGTGACACTGAAAACCAGCAATAGTTTTTCTTTCTCTCTTACCTTCGAAAAACCCACAATTGACAAGCCATGTTCTCGACATTGCATTTTTTTCCATCAGAGAGATCATTTTCTTATCCCTAGTTACTGCTGAACGCTTATTTACCAACTTGATAGTTGAAATTCGCGGGAAGATCTATCATTTAAAAATAAACTGGCCTGTTAGGTTAAAACTCTGTTGCACAATGTTGCATAGCTCCAAGAAGACCAAGAGGGTTACTCGCTCCGGATTATGGCCTCCTGGTAAATAAATACAGTCTATTCTTAGTCAGTTTAAAGTCACCCGGCATTCACAGAGAAAAAAGAGCCAAATAAACAGGAACCAACTAGCCCGTGTACAGACTTCCCCCTTCTCCCTTCAGAAAAAATCGGAGAAAGGCCCCCTTTCCGATTTCGTCTGAGTAGGTGGGGGGTCTGTAAACAGGCTAGAACCGAGCTTTTCTCAAACGACATACAAACGATGCAATTCATTTCAAGTTCCCAAAGTCTTCTTTATTTTTGCCAGTTCTTAGCCTGTTCTAAGCATTCAGTGAGTCCGGATTACCAAGAAATAAGCGAGCGCGAGGAAAAAGGAAAAGAAAAAACAGGCTAGCACGTTTTAAATAGTTATACACACACCGGCGAAAGAGGGTTTTACATCTTACAATAAAGAAAAATAAACTTGTTTCTCGAGCAAACAACTTCCTAAGTGGAAAACCAAGGTAATCGTACTTCAAGATACGAATTCGCTGATCAACCTGTTCAAATCTTGCAATCTCTACTGGATCCGTGGAACAGTCCTCATTTAGGTCTAAATAGATAGAAGTGTTGTCATGATTCTGAAGAGCGCATGGCTGCTAATCATCTAGTCCAATACATCTTGCAGTTGCAGCGTGCAAAGAAAGTCGTGTCCGACAGCCCGGGGCTAGTGGATTTTGCGATCGGGCTAGTGAATTCTGTGCTTAACTTGCCCGACGGGCAAAATTCGTACTAAATTCCTGCGGACCGAAAGTCGCTCCGACGAAGACAAGACGAAGTATCGCATTACATGTCAGACGAGACATATTGAGATCCCGCGCGTAAAGGAAAAGCAGATATTGAAAAAACTTTGGACGTATAAAATGTTGCCCGTGACTAATTCTTACAGATTCAGAGAACGCTGTTTGTCTAAATTTTGCTTCATAATCATTTGTGAGGAACCTAAAAGGTTTTGATCCTGAACTCCTGTGAGGAATTTATTATGGTTTTAGCAAATATTGGTCACGTGCGTTTCAGTAAGGTAAATTCTAAACACTGATACTGTAGGTGTTTGTTGATAAAAATATATAGACCACCTCGTATTGTTTTCACTTTTCACGAAAATCTTTTAGATGAAAGGTTGCCAGAAATAAAACGAACATTTTTGTTCTTTTGAAACCTAAAACCTTTGGTTACTTGTAACAAGATGAACCACAAATTTGCATAATTTTGTTCGCTTCATATTTGCTCACTGATGCGTGACTTAATTGGCACTCGCATTTTCTACTTTCCTGTGAACTTGAAACTTGACTCGGAAAACCGACTCCCAAACAAACCTTCTTCACAAAAATGATCTTCTGAATGCACTACTTTTGAATGAGAAGCAAACTTTTATGCCCTTTAATAATATAAACATCTACCCTGTCAGCGGCTAAGAAATACTCCCGCGGGAAATTGCGCGGCAAATTGCAGAATGAAGTGCTTTCACTGGCAGCTTTTCGCGTTGTCTACGTTGTCGTTTAGTGTATCCATTGAGAACTTTGGTTTCACGGTTTCAACGCCGTTGTTTTCTTAAAAAATGTTTTTCTAAATTGTAAAATGTATAAAATGCATGTTAATCATTCACCTGTTGTGGTGGACTTAGAAAAAATTCTACAGTGTGGCAGCGCCGAGAGCAAAACTGCAAAACTAGATCAAACTAGTTGAAGACAAGTCATTGGGAGTGAATATTGCATTGAACTCAAAGCTTTACAGAAGAATGAGTATTTGAACATTTTCACAAGAGGTTAACCAATAATATGTAGTTTTTAGCATTGTGTTATTTGTCATTTGGACCTTCATTCCGTTAGCTTCACTTAAAGTCCTTAATTCATCATTGTGAGTTGACTTTCAAGACAAAGGCATTTATAATCAAAAGGTGAACACTGAATAGACCTTGTCACGGTTTTCGACGCCATCTTGACGAGTAGGCAAACGCGTGAGAAATTACAGTGATTGTATGAGAATCTAATGTCGAATAATTTCCGTAGAACGGCTGTTCTGAAAAAAATATGACTTGTAAACTAAAGCTTCACTCCTAAGGATTCACCGGGAAAAATTTGAGGGCGTTACATGCACTTGAAGACCTAAAACCACTTCTTTAAATTTTCTATACATTTGTCTGTACGAAAGTCCCGGGAAAATTACAGACAAATATATGGAAAATCTAAAGCAAGCCTCTGGAGAAATTTAAGTACAGGTACGCCCCCCAAATTTTTTAGGACAATCCTTTGCATCGTAGCTTTAGTTTACAATTGATATTTTTTTCAGAACAGCCGTTTTACGGAAATTATCCGACGTTAGATTCTCATACAAACACTGTAATTTCTCACGCGTTTGCCTACTCGTCAAGATGGCGTCGAAAACCGTGACAAGGTCTATTATTGTACTAGTGTGTCAACAGTATCTTACCAGCTCTACTTATAGTGCACACTTTTACGGTTATTTATTGCTTTTGTTAAATATTAAAACTACAGTTGATTGTAATGAATAAATGAAGCTAGTATTTTATTAACTTACAGTGTAATAAAGAAAGGAACAATTAATTTTTTTTTTTCATTCCGCTCGCGCAAAAAATTTTTCGGGCTAGTGAAAATGACTTTCGGGCTAGTAGATGTTAGTTATAGCTTGCCCGAAGGGCAAGCTGTAAAATTAACTTTCTTTGCACCCTGAGTTGTGTACTTTACGATACATTTCGACTGATCAACCTGTTCAAGGCTTTCTATTCCTACTGAACTTATTGAACAGTTGTTACCAAGGTCTAAAAAGCCCAACGTGTTGTTGTGATGCCTAAGAGCGTGTGCAAATTCTTTGGCCCCTGAATCACCAATTTCGTTACTTCTCAGATCCAGATGAATTAATGTACGATTTGATTGCAGTGACTTTGCAATTGTGGCAGCGCCAGAAGAGTTGATCTTATTACGCTGCAATCCTAAATGTGTAAGAGAACTGTTAACGCAGAGAGCTTCTGAGATAGAAGTGGCACCTGAGGAGCTGATTTTGTTAAAACCTAGATCTAACCGGGTTAATTTAGTGCCCCTTATCTGTAGTGCCTTTGCAATGGCTGCCGCGCCTGAATCACCAATGCAGAGGTTAAAATTTAGATTCAAGTGGGTCAAAGTACGATTTAATTGCAGTCCCTTTGCGAGGGCTTCTAATCCTGTTTCCCCTATCTTATTATCTGTGAGGTATAATTCCTTCAAAGTTGTGTTTGTCCGAAGAACTTCGCCAAGTGCCGCTGCTCCTGTGTTGCCGATGTTGTTATACTGAAGATCTAAATAAGTCAATGTACAGTTGAATCGAAGAGCTTTTGCGAGGGCTGATCCTCCTACAGGCCCAATCATTTCAACGTGCACATTAGCACATTCCGGAAAAGGCGTATTTTTATCAGTGCATCCAAAACATTGACTCAGATTTAAGTACTTCAGGGAGCAGTTCGATTCCAACGTTTTCGACAGTGCCACGGCAAATGAGTCGCCGCCAAGATTTTGACTCAGATCTAAACATGTTAACACAGAATTGGACTTCAGACATTCCGCTAAAGCAGAAGCTCCAACAAAACTGATCCAATTTTGCGGAAGACTCAAATGTGTCAATGAGCAGTTCAACTGAAGAGCGTTCCCGAGTGCAATGGCTCCAGGGTCAAAGATCATGGCTACACATAGATTAAGATGTGTCAAAGACCGGTTTGTTGGAAGGAACTCCGCGAGTACTTGAGTTCCTACATCGCAAATCCACACATACTCTAGATTAAGATGTGTTAAAACACGACCTGACTGAAGGACCTCCGCGAGTAGTGCTTTGATACCAAACAACTGTTTCCAGAGAAGACGTTGATTCAGATTTGAGTAAGCCTTTTCTCGTTCGGGCGGAAGAAATATCAAATTAATAAAAGAATCATGAATCCCCCAAGCGTTTCGTAAGCTAAAACGCACCAGCCTTTGCTTAGAATGAAAAACATTGTCAATTGTTTTTAAGAGTAAAGGTTGTATATCACCATCCAACATGAAGTCTGTCAGACTGTTGTTGAACTTTAAATACTCTGAGAACACGGAGCTGTTACTATCACTTAGTGTAAGGTCCAATTTTTGCAGTGGAAAGCAGAGTGCAAGCACATGCACAACCTTCCTTTGGTAATCCTTCAATTCGCTTTTCTCATCTTCACACTCAGCAATAAGATTAAGTGTTTTTGTGAGGACGTTGCATAGCGTTCTGTCATCCTTACTCAGTTTTGTTAAATATCTTGCCCAGTCGTACGGATTATCTTTAAAGATTTCCTTAGCCAAATCAGCATCGTCGCGATTTAAATCCATTAAACTTAGAGGCCGTTTGTGACAAAAGAAAGCACAAAGGCGAGAGACAACCTTTTCTGCCGCTTTAAGACTCTTACTTAACACTAATGTGATGAGAAATTCCCACACCTGCCAGTTATCAATAGGACTGAGTTCATCCAACAATCTCTCTTTGTCTTTGTCACCGGATGACAGCTGCTGGGCCAAGTAAAACGCCGCAAAGTATTCTTGAAACGTTTTGTGAGTAAACGCGTAGGTTGGTGTTGGTCTGATTTTACTCACACTTGGCTCACGGGAAAGAAACGGCAACTGTAGGAAATTTACAGTGGGGGACTGGAATTTCACTTCATCTTGAGTAAAATATAACTGATTCTTAAGCAAAGCCTCAAATGCCATCTTCCCCAATTGATTCAGCTCACTTGCACATTGCTCCACTGGATCTTCGTCATCCAAAAAAATACCAATTTTTGCAAAATACCTTCTGAGAGCGCAAGACACAAGCTCATCGTACATCTTGGTTCTTTTGGAAGGAAACACTCCTTTTGTTTCTTCACAAAGAAGACACAGGAAAGCTGTGTTGAGTGGATTAACCGTTAATTCCCTTAAACGGTTGTCGTTTCGCAACTGTTCTATCATTTTGTCAGCAAGGCTTTGATCTTCGTGGCCCCTGAAATACTTCTTAATGTAACGTTCAACGTCCTCATGAGTGTAGCCGACAATTTCAAGAAGCGTGTCACAATAACGTCTAACTCTCATTCCAGCTTCATGTCGAGCTGTTAACATAAGGTACACATTGGCAAAGACTTTGCCGTGAATCAAAGGCAAAAAACCCTGCACCAGATCTTCACGTAGTTCATCCAAACCATCAAGAACCAGCAAGATTCTGGACTGATTGGAGTGAATAAAGTGAAAGAAGTCTTCTTTTTCCTTCTTGCCTGTATCATGTGGTAGAAGCTGATCTTCAATAGCTTCCTCTATGTCAGCCGTTTTCATGTGCATGTCACGGCACTTCAACAGAAGTAATATCTTCACTTCAGGAAATGAAGCATCTGATGAAATTTCCCTCACGGACCAATCATGAGCCAGCTTTTGACAATACGTAGTTTTGCCCATCCCAGGATTCCCCTCGATCAGCACCACTCTTGGATTGTGGCATTCTGGATGTGATTTGAATATTTCTGTCATATTGACGACGTCATCCGTTAGTTTTAAACGTTCTTTTGTTCTACTAACTATTTTCAGTCTTGTAAAGATGGTCGATAGCTTTAGCTGTAGTTCGTCTTCACACCATGGAAAGGGACACAGCACCGCGCCTTTGTAGTCTCGTCTGATAAGTTCGACAAGTTTACCTGGATTGAGTAATTAGGAAAAAAACAAATCAGGCATATAATTTCACCCGTGTTTAAAATAAAATACATTTGAACACTGGATAAAAAGGACCGTCTTTTAAAGTCGACGAAAATTCACGCACGTTGGACTTCTGGTTATTGAGTTAGCGTTTTCATTTCAAGCGTCAAAGTCGCTGCTATATTTATCATTAATGACAAACCTACCGTCAGATGTCATCAGTGGGTCTTGAAGAGAAGCGTTTGTCAAAGCTGATTCTTTAGCCGTCAGGTCATGAAACTTTGCTGCAATTGAGAAAGAGAGGAGAAAGGAGAAACTTGGAATTTTTTTCCCGTGCAAAAAAATATCCTTCTTTTGACTTGGAATAAATGAAACTAATCATTCATGTATATTACAGGTATGTAAGATGCGGATGATGATATGAAAGTGAATGTGATTCTTGCAATTCAGTTGGGAGAGCTCCGGTCTACCTAACGGGAGGACTGGGGGCTTCAAACCTAGGCCTGACGAACAACCAAGGTCTGAAAAAAAAACTGGTAAGATCATGATGGCTGTGATTTGAGATCTTGTCTCAATTAAGATGATCGTGTCTTTAGGCGGTGACGTTAAGCCGTTGGCCTTGTATCCTTTATCCTTCTTTCATTAGCCAAATCGAAGGGGACGTAAAAAGATCCCATACTACTGTTTGAAAAGAGTGGGAAACATTTCCATGGTTGCGTAGTCTGCCTTGCACACATCTTTCATGTCATGAGCTGGGCGGGTTACAGTTAGCTCATAGCTGATAGCAACTGCCAGTGGTGCCCTGGTATGATGACGTCCACGCTTACTCTTAATATATTAACATGTAATGTAAAGAGGACGTGTCTTGTCCTCCGATCTCATTCACGGTATTTCATTCCACGACCACTGGACTTAACAGACTGGACGGACTTAACAGAGGCAGCGCCAGCTAGAGGGTCAGTTTCTACGCTGACGCCCAACGTAACCTGCTTAACTGACCTTTCTAGTTCTTTAACTAGTTCAAACCGCTGATCTCCTGTCTTCTTTCAGTAAATGAGACTAAAAGTAGATACAATTATCATCTCGAAGTTACCTGTAAGACTGTGTACTTGGTCTTCAACTTTTCCGGCACGAGTCTGTAGATTTTCAAACCTCTGATCTGCATCCTCTACAAAACAGAAGCATAATGTTTGTAATTTTTAAATGATCCCACAAATAAAGAAAAAGCAGGAAACTATTATATATTTAACAATTATTCCTCGAGTGCACGTTGGATATGAGATGGAGGATAGCCAACGAGGCGCGTAGCGCTGAGTTGGCTATCTACCACCTCATAGTCCAACAAGCACGAGAAGAATAATTGCTTATTAAAAACGCCCACAACTATCGAGAATTCTTCCCGACTTTATTTGTAAAAACAACCGATTTTCAGCTTGTTTTTAATTTTGAGCAGACGTGTACAGTTACCATATTTGGAGAGCATGGTATAATGGCTCATATACCATGATGGCTAAGCCAATCAGAGCCCTAGAATTGCATTATCCAATGATTCATCTACGACATCCCTGTAATCTACGACAGAAGCCTTCAATGAGAAATGTGCCAAGTTACGCTCTCTCTTCTGCCGACTTGATTATCCAATTAATATGTTTATTCAAAATATTACACTAAGCCAGAAGGGAAAACCGATGATGGCAACGCGATAAGAATAGTTCTTCCCTTCAAAGATCAGACAGCCGCTAACGTAGTCCGCAGGCAAGTACGTGATCTCAGCAATAAGATTGCCGTGACTTTACAGCCTATTTTTGTTAGCAAAAAATTGGAGCAAGATCTTAAGCCAAAAGAAATTAGGCCGAGTATTGTAAGTCAGCATTGCGTTGTTTACAAATTTGCATGTGATATGTGTGATGCAGATTATGCTACACAGCCCGACACTTTCATCAACACATTGCTGAAGAAAAGTATTCAGCTATCGGTAAACATTTTCTAGAAGCTCACGGTGACAAAAATCTTCTTAATGATGGCCAATTTCGCGTTCTCAAGAAGTGCCATGGAAGATTTGACTGCCTCATTTATGAAATGCTACTCATCAAAGAACGGAGGCCAAGCCTTAACACCCAGAGTGACTTCATCAGTGCTAAACTCTTTGTTTAACTTGCAACATATTTTTATTTGTTACTTTCCTTTTAAATGAACTATTGCTTTTCTTGTATTTGTAGAACATACATATTTTATTTAGTTTTACTTGATAATGATGTTCCGGGTAAAGTCGAAACGTCGTGTATTTTTTAACTTTTTAATTTTTTTTAAAAAAATGTTTTTAAGAAATGTTTTGTCGCAATTTGTTGTAGCTAAGTGTTTTAAAAAGTCGCATCTTCTTTAATGATTCAGTTTTTAATATATATATATATATATGTGTTTTTTTTTTTTTGGAATAATGACGTCAGTGGATTACCTTGAAAAGTCTCTAGATTTTCAAACCTCTGATCTGCATCCTCTACGAAACAGAAGCATAATGTTTGCAATTTTTAAATGATCCAACAAGTAAAGAAAAAGCAGGAAACTATTATATTATTATTTCTTTGCAATTATGACGTCAGTAATATGAAAATGGGCTGGGAGAGGTTAAACACGATTACCTTGGAAAGTCTCCAGATTTTCAAACCTTTGATCTGAATCCGCTACAAAACAGAAGCGCAATGTTTGCAATTATTAAATGATCCCAAAGGCAAAGAAAAAGCAGGAAACTATTATATTATTATTTTTCTGTGCAATAATGACGTCAGTAATATGAAAATGGGCTGGGAGAGGTTTAACAGGATTACCTTGAAAATTCTTCAGTCTTTTCACCGTCTGTTTCATCTCTTGAAGACTTATGGCAGCGTTTTGCAGTTCTTGTTGTACCCTCACCTTTTCCTGGTCAAATTCTACTGACAAGTTGTTGACATTATCTCGTAAAAATTTTACTTCTTGCTGGGTAAGTTGAAGCAGCGCTGGGTCTACAGGAGAGTTCATGCACAACAGAGTCCCTGTAAACAAAGCGGGAAGATCAGTAATTTATACATTAGTATCCATATGTCAGGGGCACCCAACGACAATTTTCGGAAGAAAATCTGTTCGGAAGACTATTTGAGATCTAGAATTTTCGAAACCTTTGTTGTAAAATTTCTTGCTTGCCTGCCTCTCCTAGGATTTTCGAACATCTAAAAAATGGTATAATTGCCCATTTTTAACGGATTTTTACCCCAAAAAGGTGACCTAGAATTTTCGGGAGCCTTGTTTCTGGCTGAAATTTTCGAAAAGGTAAGTTTTGATCCCTATAATTTTCTGAGCACTAGACTTTCAGCTAGGAAATCCGAACAGATGAAAAGTTTTTAGGGGATAAAAATATGCCTATATCTACCGTTTAAATACTAAAATACGTTTAACAATTAATGCTATGTTTAAGTGGTTTTGAACTATATTCTCGTTGGGTGCCCCTGATATGTACAGCAAAAAATTTGAACAGCTAACTGAAAATCCTATCACCAAATGTCCAAAGGACTAGTTTCTTAAAAGTATAAATAATCCTTCTGGGTTAAAGCCATACTTAGTCTTTAAACCTTCACATTCAAACCACTATGGGGCAATCCTTTCTTTAACACAATTATCAAGCGGAACATTCGAACCCTAAAAAACAGCTCTTGTTTTAAGAACCCTCTTGTTTTAAGAACCGTTTGAAAATGAAATTAAGAATGCGGAGTGAGAAATCATTTTCACTGAAATCAGTTGAGATAAGCTTTCTTCTTTCTGTTGGAGGTGTACAGTGGGGCTTAATGAGGTTAAGGGATAAGTTTTTGTATGCTACCACAGCCATAGCTAGAGATATTCCAGAGGTACAAGCAGTTTCCCAAATCAAACCTATCCCATCACCCAAATCATTTTCGTCCAGGTGACTTGATTGAATTTCCATTTTTCAGTTTTATCAGTATGGTGAGGAACTCAACTCTTTTGATCTTAGCACCATGCTATTCAAGTAGCAGTATTAAAGGGCTAAATTGCCAAAGCTTGCCAATGTGGAAAAATTGGAGAAAATAACGCACTCCCCTTGTCTTGAAAAAAAAATGATCTCAAAAAAGTTAAAGTGGAGTTACAAATCAAAGGAATTGCACCTTTTTTTAGCTTTCTCTCATTTGGCTTCTGTTGATTTCCATCTATTTGTTTGTCCATACTGGGGTACAGCTGGTAGCTATACCCATGTAAACAGCTATTTCGAGAAAGGTTGTTGGAAAAAGTGCACGCGACAATCCCGATTTAGGCATTGTGGGTGGTTTTAAGTTCACTGTTCTTTAAAGAAATTTGAAAGAATTGGTACGAAAGGCCGTAGAAATGTGTTTGCGAGTGCTAAACGAAAGCAACAAAAGTAGGTTCGACGGGTACAGTTATCAGAAACATTGTACTGATCATATCCCATATTACCTTTCAGGATTGTCACATGCACATTTTTCCGACAACCTTTCTCGAAATAGCTGTATACTTAGTATCCTGTTTTACAGCACCTTTCAGCTCAGACTAAGGTTAGAAAATGTTAAAAATGTACAAACACTAATAATACTCGATCATCATTAATTGTATAATAATATGAAGTACATGTATATATAGTACCTTTAGTCTCCCAATCTTTCAGTTCTCCAAGGAGTTTAGCTTCATCTGCAGCAGGTAGAGCCATAACTCTCACCAGCTGTTCCATCACAACAAAGCTCTGCTGAAACTTAACAGGATCCCACTTACTGAAGTCACAGTGCGCCCAGTCATTCCTAACATTCCTGACATCACCAGCTGCAGCTTGCACAGCAGTTGAGAACACAGGCACACCACCAAGTAATGTGAGTACAGCTGAAGCATCGCATTGGTCATCAAAAGCACTGAACTTAGCCATGAAGTTTTCAACGTACAACTTAGCAAAATCAGTGTGAGATAACACTCTACAATCAAACAGGAAAATGTTGTATTTTCCACCAGGAAGCTTTGGGTGACGACTGTTACCATTGATGTTCTCATACTTTAAAAACTTTCTTGCAGGCCACCTTTGAAGACGACTGGATGTACTTTGTAAATGAATATTGTGGCTTGTCTTGAGATTGTTGTATTCTTTATCAACCTCTTGTTCCACAAAAGGACGGATCTGTGGGACAAGGATCTTGTTGAGTGCTATTCCCACCACAAGCCATCTTTTCTGATTATCTGTTACACCAAGGTGACTTGACCTGAAGATTAATGAATATTACCCGAACAAATAAAGCTTTGCAACAGCACTGGGCCTGTATATTTAATAATTCAGTTGAACCTCCCATAAGATACCCTCCAAAATTCAAAGACTTAATGGTTGCTTATGCAGGGAGGTGGTCCCTTACGAGAATTGAACTACAGGGGTCTCCTGTTAGAAGACGTCCAAACTTATCTACTTTTTGGTAGAGAATTCATTGTGAGCAATTTCTAAGTTACATATCCTCACTGTTCCATTGTTCCATGTTGTAACTGAAAGTTCTTTGTATACTCTGAGTGGTGTAGTACATATATACAGTGAACATAGAGACAATTAAAACACAGAGCATCAAGTGGTTGCTTATAGGAAGTTAAAAACAATGGAAAACTATAAAAACCCCATTATTATATTGTGACTGTTAATTACGCCAAAACACATATAATAAGAAAGCTGTATTGATAAGGTTAATTCAGGTTAAGAAAATCAAATGGAAATGACTGCATGGCCTGGCTGCATGCGTTCCATTGACATTATGGAATAGCGCCTATTGAATCGTGTCGCTTAAGTAAATGCAAATTTTTCTGTCAATCAAATGTCTAGCTCCTATTATCTGTAGGTGGAAATTGGTGAAAGATCTTGATTGTTTTGGAAACAATAGAAGAACAAAAGATTAAAAAAGACTAAGTTATGCAGTCTTAAAGTCTTTTGCGTGACTTTATTCAGTTACAGCATACTCATAATTTCACTGTATTAGAACTTTGGAAAGATTATAGTTTGAAGCAAAGCTTAAAAAATCCTGATTATAAGTCAAAATAAACAGTGTACCTAAAAAGGAAAGCACCTGAGAAATCAAAGGAGATATTTTTGTCTCCATGCAGTGAAATCCCCCGAATGTAGGGTAATTTGCATATACGTGTAAGTGAAGCAAATACACTCAATGTTACTTGCTGTGGCTGTAAACGCAACGTCTAGTTTATCCTGTCGAAAGCATAAACTCTGACATGAAAGAATTATATCCTTTCACAAAAATAATATAAAATGAAACAAAGCAAGCGAAAAAAATGGAAAACAAGCAAGGATAACTCAGTTTCATGGAAAAGACGTTTTGCATACAGATTAACAACCGCCGCAACCTCAACTCGAAATCATTGCACTTCATGTCTGTTTTTCTGGCATTCTGTACATTCTACTGGCTTATAAATCCTTAAAATAGTTTACGAAGTCAAAATAATAAACAAGTTGAGTGATTGCATTTCCATTTAAAAAGGAGAGTAGTGTGAAAGCTTGAAATTATTGATTTGCTTAAGTTAAATTATCTTTGTATTGTAGAAACAAATTATAAGCGAAACCTTCACTCAGAGAGTCAACTACATGCGTCGGCATCCCTCGTGAGCACACAAATAGTCACGGGACCTGCAATTTTATGGGTGATGCAGATCAAAAAGGCGGAATTCTGTAACGATTTTGTTTAAAAAACTTATTTATTAATCGGCCACAGGGCCTTTGATGGGTATATAGGTTCATGCAAATAAAGACCAAATGGTCCACTTGACCTTTTGTCAATAATTAAATAAAATGCAATTTCAGTGAAACAGAAACAAAAAAATTTAAGAAACAAAAATAATGAAAAGGCAGCATGAAATCAGAAAAAAAATAGAATTGAATTTGTCAGAAAGCATTAAAGTGCAACATTGTGACTATGTTGTAGACTCTTCAACCGTTCCAGTCTAGCTAGGTGAGTTCATTTATCGGTTACAAAAATCTTTTCAGAATTAAAGAGACTCTTGATTTACCAAGTTACCAGCCAAAGTGTATTAAGTTAAGTAAGTTAATAATTGTTAATATGTTTGTACTTTAGGCTGAATCGATCTTGTGTGTACATCCTGTTGAAGATCTACTTAATTTAGCTCACCCAGATGATGATGAAGCCATTTCAAAAATTATATTTGAAACATCAACATAACATTACTTCTCCCGTTTGTGTCATCCTGGGTCACAATCTGAAAAATAATCAGAAACCACCTGCCATCATAGTAAAATTAATTATTTGTTGTAAATGAAAGACATGCTTTGAGTCAATAATACCCACAAATTCAGAGCTTTTTTCTGTCAGTAAGTTAACTAAAATTGCCTCAGCCGCTTCTAAACAGACTGCAGTGCAATCTTTCATAATTAGATTATAAGAGACACTGCCAGTATACAGCTATACACATGAAAAGAGGGACACAATGTGGAGTAAAGTCGTTGTATTAATTAATAGACAATGCAATTAAGCATGCTGATCGCTCTCCAGGTCTGTACAGAACTAATGAAATGCAGTCAGTACTAGCTAGATCACCACAATCCCATGTCTCCTTTAACTTAACTTTCAGACTGCACTGCATGACAGCTGCTTCAGCAGTCCTAGTAGGAAATGACAATAATTTTCATCCAAGTATATATAATAAACTGAACCAGAAACTTTGCTAAAGCCAGGGTGTACCTAGTTTTGTTCAAAGGTTGGACAGCTAAGTTTAGGTTTGGTATAATGTCAAAGACAATACTATAAATATAGAATATAATATTGAATACTATATTGAATTTGAGCCTACAGTGTATCAAATATTATATTTCATGCACTCTCTGAAAAAGCTACCCTGGAAACATTCAATCCTTTGAATCACTTAAATAAATTAATAAAAAATGCAATTCAAGAATTACTCATCAGTGCTGATTTAATTCAGTCGAATTATAAGTAGCTGCTGAAAACAAAACATAGAAAACAAAAAAAGATGGTTTAAAATTTGAATGAATCGAGTTCCCCCGCCGCCTCCTATAAAAGTGGATGAGATTACAGTCATCTTCAAGATGGCCGTCTGTATAACGCTCCCTCGAGCTCCCGACCATCTTTAAAAAAATTGGGGATTTCAAAGGGTCTAATAATGTTTTACGTTCCATAAAAATGCTTCAAAAATTTTCTCAACCTTTAAAAAATTACACCTTTTTTCAAGAAATTTATAAACACACCATTTGAACTGTAGACGACAGAAAACGCAATGCGAGAATTCTCGGAGGAATAAATCGTAACCTTGCACTTCCGGGATTCAATTAAGCTTAAAGGCAGAACGTTTACAACATTTTTACCGTTCAAAAGTCGATAGAAAGTACGCTGCTGGAGTTGTAAAGTTAGAAATTCTTCACACCGTAAAGCACTAATTCAATGTCATGTGCGGTTAAGAACAGTCACTGCTTTCACTTTCCTTTAAAGTTCTTATCATATTTCCAAAATGGCTGAAAATGGAGGCTAATTCCATACGTACACAAAATACAGCCAGAGGCACCAAGCATTTACGCACAGCCCTGATAGGATATCACGGCACAAAGAACCCACTGTTAATGCAAAAAACAATCATTACTTACAAACAGGTACCGAGAAAACTTCACTTCGCCAGACAGTATATTCTGATAAAGTTGCTACTGTGAGAAACACACTGAATAGATGGTTTTCACAGTGACGTCATCAATTTTAAAGTCAAAATGGCGAGGTTTTACGAATTCTTATTTACACTAGGTTGAAGATAAACAAAAAGTAAATCTTTGTACAAGTTTCCATTTCCGAACAGTATGTTGCCCAATATCCGGACGGTACCAGTATCGGGTCACTTAAAACAAAAACTCAATTTTTGAGGCGCCCTTTTCCGTTCTCGGTAAACGAAGTGTTTCGAATGAAAGCTGAACATTTCAGCTTTAAGATGAAAGTTATGGCGAGTTTAAAGCTTGCGAAACAGTCGCAGAAGACGCCGTTCTGTTCAGGTGAGTAAACTTTTCATGGCTAATATTTACTCTGTTTACTGCGCAGTAAAATTAGTGCGGCTCAGAAATGGGTAGGTAATTAACAATTATTCCTCGAGCCCGAATGGGGCGAGAAGACCGAGAGGAATAATTGTTTTAGTAAAATCCAACTAGTTGGTCAAAAATATCGAGAATAGAAAAAAAGTTAGCTACTTACTCAGTATCTGGCCAGTTTTTTCTTTGCTGTACAGAATCGATGAATTAGTAGCGTACATTATCCGGATAAGATTTATTTCATATCTATAACTTAAAGCTTAGGATATAAAATATAATCGTAAAATGTAATTCTACTCAACTCCTTATGGCAATTTTCTTCACTCATTCACTCACACTTCGTGGGGTGTCTAGAAAACGACGACCTAGAAAACGAAGACCTACGACCTAGAAAACGACGACCTAGAAAACGACGACCTAGAAAACAACGACCTAGAAAACGACGACCTAGAAAACAACGACCTAGAAAACGACGACCTAGAAAACGACGACCTAGAAAACGACGACCTAGGAAACGACGACAGGGATGGGGTAGCTCGAAGGATTAAGGGGTTAGAGGGGTACAGAAGGCGGGAAATAAGAGGACGATGGGAGGGAATTATGAAGGGGTGAGAGGTGGGCGAAGAAGGAAAATTACAGAAAATAGTTAATATTATTTGTACCGGCTAAGGGTATGAAGCCAAGGAATAAAACGGTGGAAATGGAAATGCAAGGTACGCGAGGTCGCCTCTCTTTTTCGTTTATCAAACAAGCGTTGCCGGTTAGTTATTGGATAGATTTATTTGATGACAAGAATTGTATTAGCTTATTGTGTTTCAAACCAGTTTTTCAGTAGAATCGAAGTGAGAAAGAAAATAATTTACAGTCTGTCTATAAATCCGCTTACCTGAAGAATCTGTTAAAAGAATTTGCTAACCTGTAAAGTGCAATTGTTGTAACGACCCGCCACAGAAGTAAGTTAACATTGAAGTTTTCTGAATTTAGCTACGTGATTAAGACGATTTGTGTTTGTTCTGATGGCGAATTATAAATGTATTTCTTTTAGGTCGAATAATTATTAAAGCTTGGTGGTCATTTGAGCTAACCAGTTCCTAAGGAACTGGCTGGGGTGGTGGACAATAAAGCGTTAACCAAGAGAGTTTACTGATTAAAAGTATATCGGGTTAGTTTCATGAGCGATC